AACACACACACACACACACACACACACTTGCTCGCTGTTTCAATCTCGCGCCCCTGGTCCCCCCTCCCTCCCTGACAAACGTACAATCCACCCAAGCGACAGATCCAACTAGCATCAAGGCACCACCCTGCCAGCTGTCGCCAGCCAGCACCACGCGCGGAGCCCCGCTAAGCGGCACGCGACCGGCAGTTAAGTAACCCTTCCTCCCTTTCAGGCCGCGCTATTCAAATAGGGATGTAAATTAATATAACCCGCTCCCGCCACACCCTAACCCCATCACCCCTCCAATGATAGTGGTGTCCTGCTACCCGCATTGCCATTCGATCAAACTCCTTCTGCTGTGTCCTTTTAAACGAAACAAAATCGGTTCTATGACTACAAACGATATTTTATTACCTATATAATTTGCAGTAAAGTTCCCTGGCACATGGTCAAGTTATTTGTGTCCTGATCAGTTGAAAAATGTAGATGTGTTCCTTACCGATGAAGATAGGAAACAGAAATGAAGTAAACGATTATAAATATAGGGTATCTTTATTTTAAAAGAAAATACCAACTAGATCTAGATCTAGAGGACTTGTTTTAAAATGATAACTCGATCATATTTGTAGGCCTACCAATTTCAACAAAACTTAATATTTCTCGAACACGCAAGGAGGAGATTGTTTCAGAATGCTATCAGGTCTACTGGGGTAATAATATAGACAATATAGCAAAGCGGGTGTGTGTGGTTTTTGTGCACACTGTTTGTTTGTTAGTTTGTTTGTTTTGGGGAGGGGGGGGGGTGTTTACAATACAAAGAGAGTGGGAGCATATATTGTCTCCTAAGAATACCCAAAGCATGTCGACACGTTTTGCTATATTTTATTGTTTTGTTTTCCTTTTTTTTTCTCATCCTGACCGTTTGTTGTCAGGGCACATCGGTCCTTGCTCTTAGTGTTATTTATCCATTTTTACTGCTCTTTCGTTCATTCACTGATTGTGTCATCCGAATCTTTTTTTTTGGAGGGGGGGGAGATTGTTTTTGTTTGTGTATGTGGAAAGGGGGGGAGTTGTTTGCTTGTTTTCTTGGGATTTTTTTTGGTTTGTTTTGTTTTTATTTCTGTTTATTATTTAAAAGGGGAGGGGGTATGATTTTGGGGATTATTTTAGGGGATAAGGTTTTTCGTTTTTGTAGTTTTTTGGTATTTTAGGTTGTAGTTGGGTTGTTTGTTTGTTGTTGGGTTGTTGTTGTTTTTTTT